CGCTCTAAGGTTGTACCACTTAGTTAACCTGGACTGGTTTCCTTCTACAGCAGAAAAGTCAATCAATATTGAGAACAGCGCTTGTCTTGTCACAGATCTAATAGTTAGAGATGTGGACCCCTGGAGGTGGGGCAAAAGACCCCACAAGACTCCAACTTGCCCCCACTTGTGTTTTCTAACACAGAGCAAAGCACCCAGTGGTTATTCCAAGAACAAGTAACTATTTTTTAAATGGTAATTTGAGCATTCCACATGAGATCAGCTCTTCAGGGGAAAATGTCAGAGACCCAGATACTGTTCTATAATGGGCAGTTGCCTCGCTGGGGATGGGCCCCTGGTGGTGTTTTGGGGACAGACTTGCAGTGGAGTCCCTGTGGGCCAGCAGATGTCTTTCTTTACTGAGGTGAAATGTTCAGGGAAGGTCAGGGATCGCCTAACCTGGGAACATGCATTTCCTTAGGCACCAGGCCCCATGCACAGCATTTGGGGAGGTATGCTGTGGAATCACTTCTTGAATTATGTGATCACTGATGTAAGGAACATTCTCAGCGATTTTTAAAATCATATGAGGTGATGTCAGATTGGACAGCACAGCTGAAGAACTTACCATGCCCTAGATCCCCAACCTCTGCTGTTTAAACCATATGACTCCTATTTGGTGGCCACGGAAGACCCTGGAAAGACCCTGCCCCAGCTATTTTTCCCCTTTGAAAAGGAAAGATAGTTCTTGTTTGTTTTTCTTAATTGCTTTCAATTATTAATTCATGTTATTTTCTGAAATCAGCACATGATTTTCCATAGGCAGTGGGATCCAACAGAGGAACAAGGGCTGNCCTTTGAAAAGGAAAGATAGTTCTTGTTTGTTTTTCTTAATTGCTTTCAATTATTAATTCATGTTATTTTCTGAAATCAGCACATGATTTTCTATAGGCAGTGGGATCCAGCAGAGGAACAAGGGCTAACGGTGACCACTGGGTCTAGTGGGCATGTGCTCAGTGGGGAGGAGGTGCACAGCTGTATTTGTGATGTCATCTCAACCATTGAAAATGCACAGAAAGTCCTAGCCTGTGGGGCTCAATTGGTTGGGCATCCTCCCATGCACCAAAAAGTTTCTGGTTTGATTCCAAGTCAGGGCACATGCCCAGGTTTCGGACTCGATCCCTGGTAGGGGGCGTGCAGAACACAGTCGATTGATGTTTCACTGTCATCAGTGTTTCTCTCTCTCCCTTTTCCTCTTCCTCCCTCTCTCTCTAAAAAATCTTTTTTTAAAAAAATGCACAGAAAAAGTAATGAAGTGAAACACATAAATGTCCACAATGCTGACCTGGGGCTTGGTATTGGGATTATTTTATTCTTTATTTTTTTCTGGATTCTCCAGTTTCTGCAATGTACAGTATTACTTTGTCAATCTGAAAATCTTAATTTTTAATTAAATGTGGCCACAGGTGTGAGGGCACCTGGCAGGTGCATCTGCAGCAGAGACTGCGCTGTGTTGGCCTCCTCGCAGGCCGTCACTCCTCCTTTCTGTGTAACGTGCACATGCTCAGTGAGCTTATATGTCAGCAAGAACATAGCTAACGAGACCTTCACTCTTAAGAACACACTGGTATATCTGAGGTACAATTTTCAAAGTTATCCAGATATATGAAATATTAAATATTTTTTAAACTTCAGCACTTAGAAAAACTAAATAAAATAAATGTGAAAGGCAACCTTTGGTAAGATACTAAGTTCTGAGTTTTAAGGCAATAAAAGACATCACCAAAAAAAACTCAAGAAATGAAACTTGTGTAAAATTTAAACTTCTATAGAGAAGAAAAGAACATAACTAAAACTACAAAGCAAATGAACTAGGAGGAATACGTCTAGCAGTAGATGCATTATAGAAACTTTTGCTAATGGTAAGTGCAGAAAATTGTTAAAATTTTTTAAAAGCCCACGGAAACTCATTAGGCAGAAATAAGACAACAGCTGGAGCAAAAATACATATAGAATATTTACAGAAAACAAACATCAAATAAAGGATTGAGCCCAGCCGGCATGGCTCAGTGGTTGAGCATTGACCTATGAACCAGGAGATCGCAGTTCGATTCCCGGTCAGGGCACATGCCTGGGCTGGGTTTTTATCCCAATCTCTCTCTCTCTCCCCCCCCCTCTGAAATCAATACAGATATATTNTATGAACCAGGAGATCGCAGTTCGATTCCTGGTCAGGGCACATGCCTGGGCTGGGTTTTTATCTCAATCTCTCTCTCTCTCCCCCCCTCCCTTTCTCTCTCTGAAATCAATACAGATATATTAAAAAAAAAAAAAATAGAGGGACCTTCAAGATGGTAACTGAGAGAGTGACATAGAGAAATGTTTGCTAAGGTGACTGCAGACAAGAATGCCAAATTATATCTATGTTACTGTTCCAGTTTAGAAAAGCTATTTCCTATATGGATAAGAGCAAAGAAAAGTTTAAAGTCTCTCAAGATATATTGGGTTGAGATTTTTCTCCTTTTTCCTTTCTCTGTTATTGTAATAATGTGTGTGCAGTATGTCAGTGCTAGGATGGGGAAGAGTAAGTTGCAAAGCAAAATATTTTGGAACTAAGCTTGTACTGTGGAATGTAGCTTCATGTTAGAGCATGTAGCTGCAGCTTCTGACATGCCAGAGTCCCACCCCTTGTTCCCTAAGTGCTGGACACTCTCATGCCCCATGGAGACGTGGCCCATGTTTGACTGTGTCTGATCCATCCTGAAGTTGAAACATTTTTAGAGCAAGTTCTTTTCAAAGAGTGCTTAAGAACTCTCCCCATAACCTATGGCTTGGCTGTAAACTTCACTGACTCAATAAGTAGAAACCACCCATTCCATTACATGGGAGATGTAGCCTATGTTGGTGTCCTGCCCAGATTCCACATTTTCTCACTGTGCCCCCCACGTGCTACTCCAGAGGCCATACTCTGAGGCAGGGTGCCCATGGGTGCCCAGAACCCCTTGGAGGCTAGACAGAGGGCGAGCGTTGGGGAGGTGGGAGTGTGGAAGCCCAGGTAGGGATGACCCCTAGGAGGCACTTCCCACAGAGTCTTCTTGGGCTCTGATGCATGAGACTGTGCCTGGGGTGGCTTCCTCCCTGCCTGTCCTGTTGCCTACCTCCCCCCAGCCTCCCAGAAGGAGCTATAAAAGTGTGATTTTGACTGACTTCACTGAATTAAGAAGAAACCCCATTTTCAGCCCTAATGATTTGTTTGGTGTTCTGAGGTGCAGGGGGGCTGTTGCTCTCTCCCCCTGCTGGATGGAGATCTGGGGTCCCAACAGGTTCCATACCAGCCGCTAATCTCCCTCCCTTTCTTGTCCCAGGCCAGGTACACAGGTCTCATCTTCTTCCACGAAGGCTGGCCACTGTGCATCCATGGGAAGGTGGTGGTGCAGTTGGCATCCCTCCGCGGAGTCAGGCTCAGGCCCGGGGACTTCTACCTGCAGGTCACATCAGTGGGGAAGCAGTCAGCCAGACTGGTCTTAAAATGCCTCTCTCGGCTGGGACGAGGCTCAGAGGAAGTCGCAGTGCCTGAGGCCATGTACGGCTGTGTCTTCACAGGAGAGTTCCTGGACCGGGTGAACAGGGAACGCAACAGTGTCCTCTTGAAAAACTGCTTGCTGACCTCAGGCTCTGCTGTCTACCGCACCCCATGGAGCAACGTCACCGTCCCTGTGTTTGTACCTACCAGCGGAAGAGTCCTGCCCAGCTGCTCCAGCCATCCTGGGCCTGAGCAGCCGCCCAGCACCTCCTCGGAGGCGCCGGCCCCAGCCCCAGCCATGGCCAGCCCCCATCCATGGGGGAGCACCCCTTCCAGCGACACTCCAGTCCTGCCTCCCTGCGGTGGGCATATTGGCAGTGACCAGCCCAGCCACCTTCCTTACCTGAGAAGAGCTGAGTGCGAAAGCGCCGGGACGCTGCCCAGGAGCTCTGATGTCAGCCTGTGGGAGCCCCTTGAGGGCCCTGAACAACCCGGAGGGAGACTGGACCCCGTGGACAAGAAGGATGGCCCCCAGGCCCTCACCTCTCCCGAGGACACAGGCAGCCCGAGCTCCAGAAGGCGGCTGCCTGGGGCCCCTGGCGGCGTGGAGGCCAGACGCTGGTTCCGGAAGTCCTACATGGAGGCCCTTCAGAACCCCATGCCGCTGGGCTCCAGCTCTGAGGAGTCCCTCGCGGAGCAGGCCTGCGGCGCCCAGAGCAAGGGGGCCGAGGCAGCGGCCGGCCGGACCCAGAGTGAAACCCCTGGCTCTCGAGGGGACCCCCAGGGAACCCGGAGTCAAGAAAGCTGTCCAGGAGCCACTGGGAGGACCCTTATCAGGAGGTCTCAGTCCTGGGACAGATCTGTCAGGAGCTTCCGGGGTGACGTCCGGCCGGCCTCCCCCCATTCAGCCAGTGCTGGATCTGGAGGTCTCTTAGGAGGACAAGCTGTGACGACCAGAAACTTGGGCTCCAGCCACCCCTCTGGCTGCACCAAAGAGGAAGGTAAATGTCCCTTCTCCCCTTCTCCCCTCCTCCATTGTCCCCTTTCTCCCTCAACTTCTCCTCTCCTGTCCCACCCTGTCCCGTTTGGTCTGGTCACTTAGTTTAGTAGAAACCTGTCTCCATATCCATATTGACTGTTGAAAATAATGTTCATGTGTGTTTCTTTTCTGTGGCCACCACACAAAGTACTGCAGACGCGGTGGCGTAGGACAACAGAAATTCATCCTTTCACAGTCTGGAGGACAGAAGTCTGACCTCACAGTGCCGCAGGCTCTCAGTGAGGGTCCGTCCTTTCTCTCCAGCTGCTGGGGACTCTAGGCATTCCTGGGCTTGTGGCCACATGCCTGGCTATCCTCTCTGTCTTTCCATGCCTCAAACCTCTCTCCTCTCTCTTATGAGGACGTTTGTCATTGGATTTAGGGCCCACCCAAAACTTTATGTATTCACATCTGCAAACACCCTTTTTCAAATAAGGTCACAATCACAGGTTCTGCGAGTGGAAACATCAGCAAACACCCCAACATTGTGTTAATACTTGTTCATGTGGGTAAATCGGTATAATGTTCATTTTTAAGTGACACCAGGCCAGTGACTTTGTGCTCCTTAGTTACACACACTCGAAGGCCCTCAGTAAGTCTCTGAGCATCCATTCCTGGAGACTTTTCTGTAGGCTCTGGAGGGAAACTAATTATCTCGAGTGTGTGCTGTGCATCAAGAAAGATAAGGAAAGAACGGCAACATTTTTCTTAAGTCAAATATTTCAGCTATTTTCCTTTTTTTTTTTTTTTTGTATAATGTCCTGTGATGAACAAAAACAATGACTTTGGAAAGAAGCAAAAAGTGTGAACGTGCTGTAGGCCTCAGAAAGCAGGTTTAGCACTAGCAGCCCCACAAAATAAATACAGGAGTAGGTGTAAGGGCTCCTATCTGGTTTCCTCACCTGGCCTCTCGCCTGCCCCAGTGGGGGCTCCAATCTTGTTTGCATTGAGGGCTCTTGGAGACCTCGTAGCTCTGGGCGTGCCTGTCTGCTGCACCTGTGCAAGGGCCTCCCCCCCAAAATAGGCTGTGCCCTCCTGCCAAAAATTCTGACAGGATTCAGAAAGCATAGCACACACACTACGGAGTGATTATAATACAATTATTTACTTAGGGTTGACACAGAAAACATTCTATTGACTCTCTGCAATTCAATTAAAATTGAAGCAATAACTCTCTGACCATTGTTTCCAGGCCCTAACCTGTCCTTTATTGCCCATTTCCTTTCCCATTCTTATTGGGCAGAAAACACACAATCCCACACTCATACTGGGTGACACCATGAAAATTCATGACTGCAGCAGATCCACAGCTAGGAGACAGAGCTTATGTTTTCACCCCAAGTGTCCATGTAAAACATAATCAAGTAAATTTCTCCCCTCGGAGAAGTGCTGGCTGTGCAAATGCTTTTGTGGACATTCAGGCACATTGTCACTGACAGTGTTGTAGCACAGGGTTGCAGACCTTTGACAACAACCAGATGACATGTAACAGTCATAAAGGTGGCAGGTTTAAACAGTCCAGTACTTCCAAGTGGAAACTGCGCCAGTCGACTCCCTGGTTGTAGAGTAGCACGTCTAGGAAGATCCAAGGTCTCTTCATCAGAAATGTTGTATTCTCAGGTAATCATTTCTCTCAGGCCCAGTGGGCTTTGTCTATGCAGTACCCAGAGATTACATGTGCGGTAACACTGAGGGCTGCCAGGGACACCTGATGTTGGAGGAGTTTACTGCCTGGGCACAGTGCCCCTTCCCTTCTTACTCTACCTCCTCGCCCTCCTCACTGATAAAGCAGAACCCACCTGTGTGGTGTCTAACATCCAGGAAGGAAGGAAGACACTGCGAATAAGTGGAGGCTGCTTCTAGCCATGAGGAGGTGGGCAGTGATACCAAAGGTATGGTCAGAGGGCCAAGACCATTGATTACCCAACCAGTGACCAGTGGATCATTGGTATATGCTTTCCCCTCCATACCCCACTGTTCCTGGAGTCAAGTCTGTGGTGTGGTCACGGACTCCATGTGTTCATGAACACAGGAAAATGCCTCACTGGAACCCCTTGCTGACACCTAAGTTAAACAAGTGACATTTATCACATTCACTCTTCTGTAGCGATAGGCACAGCTTGCCCCTCCTGTTCCAGCATGCTCCTCTTCTGTTCCAGCTTTCTCCTCTCTTCCAGCTTCCTCCTCCTCTGTTCCCACATGCTCCTTCTCTGTTCTAGCTTGTTCCTCCTCTGTTCCTGCATGCTCCTCCTCTGTTCCCGCATGCTCATCCTCTGTTCCCGCATGCTCATCCTCTGTTCCCGCATGCTCATCCTCTGTTCTAGCTTTCTCCTGTGTTCCAGCTTCCTCCTCCTCTGTTCCCACATGCTTGTCCTCTGTTCCAGCTTCCTCCTCTGTTCCAGCTTCCGCCTCCTCTGTTCTGGCTTCCTCCTCCTCTGTTCCCGCATGCTTGAACTCTGTTCCAGCTTCCTCCTCTGTTCCAGCTCCCTCCTCCTCTGTTCCAGCTCCCTCCTCCTCTGTTCCAGCTTCCTCCTCTGTTCCAGATCCCTCCTCCTCTGTTCCAGCTTCCTCCTCCTCTGTTCCTACATGCTCCTCCTCTGTTCCAGCTTCCTCCTCCTCTGTTCCTACATGCTCCTCCTCTGTTCCAGCTTCCTCCTCCTCTGTTCCTACATGCTCCTCCTCTGTTCCAGCTTCCTCCTCCTCTGTTCCTACATGCTCCTCCTCTGTTCCAGCTCCCTCCTCCTCTGTTCCTGCTTGCTTCTCCTCTGTTCCTGCATACTCCTCCTCTCTTCCGGCTTGCTTCAGCTTCTGACTCTTTGCTTTGTCTCCTCTTTAAACATAAAATTAATGTAATTTCAAAACTATAAGTGTAGCATTTCAGAACTTATTTTAAGAATATCATACTCAGAGCATTCATTGTTTATTCAACCAGTGGTAACTGCACAACTCTTTCTCGTTAGCCGCACGTGGGTACTGCCTTGATTCCTGGCCATTTGAGTGTTATAGCCCCGACCTCAGACCTCTCGTCTCACTGCCTCACGGCGCAGGCTGAATTCGGGAGAAGCCTACACGAATGACCTGTTCCATTAGGAAGATGTCTAATAAGAAAAGGCTCACGTGAATGTGATGTCTGCCCCCCCCCCCATCCATGTGATAAAGCTTGGGGTTCACTGCAGAATTGATCTTACCTTTGGCCAGTGATGTGTCCTAGAAAATGTGTGAGCATACATGAAAAAGTTCACCCTCAAGGATACTGTGCAGCTGGAGTCCATCTGCCAGTGGAGCGACAGACAGAATGTGGGACATCAGACAGCAGAACGAGACCCACCACAGGAAGGAATGAGGCTCTGGCACAGGCAGCGTCATGGGTGAACCTCAAAAATGATCCTGCTGAGTGCGAGAGACCAGGCAAGAGACCACATCGTGTTTGGTCCGTTTACATGAAAGGTCCAAATAGTTAAGTTTACAGGCAGAAGGTAGACAGGCAGT